ACACCAATGTTCTTTCAAACCGGCTGTGATACTCGGTGCTAGTTATCACAGCCAGTTGTAATAAAACCGGCAGTGATAGAGACGTCTGGGATGACCAGATCTGTAGTAGTGTTGAAGAAGAGCGCAGGTCTGGTTCTTTGTGAAGTTCTCTTATACGCTCTACGCAGATTGTCATCGTTGATTTTTGTGAAGTAGTAGTATTGACTAATCTTTTTACTTCTAAAGGCACTATCTATATGACATGAATGGCACCAAGTTCTTCGAATACTTATTGCACTATCTGAATTATTTTATTTACAATGGTACAAGTTCTTGAGGCAGTATCATAAATTGTTTTTTTTTAAGGCAGGTATCATAAAGTGTTGCTAGACATTGTTTATAAAGTGTTAATATCATGCGAAGCCACTAAGTTAACTAGTAATAAGTGCACTATCTGCGCGTGTTTGAGTGCGGTTAACTTATACGCTAATAGGATTTGGATGGTGAGGTTTGGGCGTTTGGCTATAGGCTGCTGAAGTATGAATGATATGGAAGGGAATCTTTTAGAGTAAATAGCCAAATGAAAATATAGACAGTAAAATATAGAGTGTTTCACTCTTACCCTAACTACGACTCCATTAACTGATCCAATTCAATTTTTTTTCTTGCAACTGGTGCCCAAACAAAACAAGCAACAAAGTGCATGCAAGTTTTCCCACTACTTTCTCTCTCCTCCTTGCACCACTTTAGCATTAGCACGCAAGCTACAGTGCCCCAAGCATGCATACTATGTTGCCCCTCACAAGAACTAGAGAGCTCCAACGAGAGAACCACCTTGCTGTCCAACAAGCTACTGCAGTTTTGTAACAGGCTGTATATCCTCCTTGAAGAACTCCTTAGCGATTGAAAGGAAAATGACTAATCATACAACCAAACAACTGGGTAGGAATGAATAGCATTATCATAACTTATATTGATGGTACCAAATCAACTTTATGAAAATTGATCCTCTGGCCTGATAATTGTGTTCAAAACATACAAAATCTAATTTCATTTTCTAGCATAAGTTCTCTAGCATTGTATATTTGAGACTAACATTATCTTCTACCTCCCGTACCTTAGCTTGTACCCATCGAGAAACATCTAGTTATCATGCAATCTATTAGAAAGGAGAAATAATAAAGGACATGTTTTGGATAGTTTTCTTGTAGAAAAGATGGATCTTGGATGATCATTATTTGGACCATATTACCACTGAATGTATCAGCTGCATCATGTTGTATCAAATTGTACTCTGCAATATGGGAAAAATTACAGGAAGGTCAAGCGACGACTATAACAAGATATTAAGTCTAAGAGGTGGTTGTCTTCAAGTAACAGACTTTCAATTATAAATACAAAATTATATGATAAAATGCATACTTAGCATCTAGCAAACAAAGACCTACTGAAGTTTCACTTTGAAGAGCAAAATAATACCTAGCATCGTCATTGGACAATGTTTTCCACAAAAATTAGAAAGCATACCATTTGCATCATACATTTGCATTTGTACGTCTTATAAGAGTCACCAGGAGCGGCTACATGGTAGAACGACACGAACCTGTGGGTGTTTGGTTTTAGCAAAGAGTTCATCATCTTCTCACTCCTTTTTTTTTGTTTGGTTTGTAAAATGAAATGATTTGATACATCATCATCTTATTTCTTACAAGCTAGTAATTAGTACTAGTATAGAGAACGAAGTTATTCCATCAAATTTGATGGAATGGACTTATGATACATCACCTCATCTAGAATGAGATGGTTCCTCAAACTAAACACATTAAGATCTGGATGCGGCCTTCCTTCATGAGATGGCAATATAGCTTCTCTCAGATTTGGAATTGCATCAGAGTAATTCAACAACCGCTGGCAATCTCCATGGCAGGTAACCCATGTGACCGGTAAAAAGCTCAGAAGTTAAGCTTAGCTTACTGGGACATTGATAAACTGCAGCCTGAATGCAACTTATGACAATGTCTCACAATTAAAAAGACTAAAAGATGGACACCGTTTTTGTGCGACAATTGACTTGGTTCGTCCGTCTGCCACCTGCGATCCCCACGACCCCGCATGCGCTGGCTCCCCGTGCGATAATCACGACAGTTGCCGCGTGAACGGAGCGCGTGGAGTTTTGCCGGGCCAAGTCGCGCGGAGGAAGTCGTCTCCGAGACTACGTTTAATTGGCAATTGATGATTTGACTTCCCTTGTTGTCTGTGGTCCCGTGGATTTCCTTGCATGCTGCGTATGCAAAACCAGAGGAAGAGGGAGAAAACAACTGCATCCTTCATTCGTCGGGATTGTCGCGCATGCAAAGTTGATATGCTTCATTGCGTTGATTGCCGGGGTTTTCATTGTGGTGCCTATTGCGTTGGGAAGGGAAGAGATCTTTTTTGACATTGGAAAAGATCAATTACATAGCGAGATTGAGGGATTTCCTTTTTTTCAATCGCTCATGATCGTCGGATGATCACGGAGGGCGAGGGGCGCACGACGCCGGACGAGGATTGGATCGGGCTCTCGTACTCCATCTATTGCACAGGTGGCATATGATAAGATGTGATCGTATGGGTCCCATGTGGAGTGGCAATTAGAGGGAATAATAACGCCGGGTGGGAAATTGACGGGGGCGAGTGCATGAGACGCGGGTGGCACCGCGTGGGGGAGCGAGCGTGCGAGCGCCGGGCATAGCGAAGCTGGGCGACGCACGTCGTCCTGCCGTGTAGAGTCTCACTCCCGTATTGACAAGATAAACACCGTTTTGGTGCGACAATTGCCTTGGTTCGTCCGTCTGCCACCTGCGATCCCTGCGACCCCGCATGCGCTGGCTCCCCCGTGCGACAATCACGACAGTTGCCAGTTGGCATGCGGACCCGCGTGCGGTGGCTCTCCCACGCGATAATCATGGTAGTTGTTGATTTTTCTTGCATGCCACTCCGCAAATACCCTGCTCGCCCCACGATAGTCAGAGATTCGCCTCTAATCACGCTCAAGATACAGCAGACTCCAAATTGAAGGCTCGCGATCCCTCTCTCGCCCACGCCGTCGCCTCCTCTCCCCGTGCCGTCGACCTCGTCGTTCCTCGATTGCCGTTCATCGTTCGTGCGTCGGGGAAGGGAAGGGAAGAGAGGCAGGCGTCTTAACCGACGACGCTTTGGCCGGCATCTTCGTAGAATAGCGGCAAAACCTCGCCCGTGCGACTGTAGAAAGCACGTATGTGTGCTCTATCCCATCGTTGGTCACCTCCTGGCTCCCACCACAGCAGGAGATCCAGAGGTAGGCACGAACGGAGCACGAGCACGGCTGCACGGGAGACCTCAATCTGCGCCGCCGCCCGAAAGACACACCAGCGCTGATGTATGCCAAGTACACTCTTGAATTTACCTTGCAGTACATGGACGCACATATTCCTAGATGGAATGAGGATGTCTTCAAATGAAAATTCAGACGGAAAGAAAACATTGCAGAGGACATAGATGGATAACTAACTCAGAGTCACTATGGCTTGCAATAATAATACCTACGATTTAACTATTTCTATATATAGTCGATTGTGAATCTTGCCACAGACACTTAAGTGAATATCTTATTCTACAGTATATGTCTACGTGGAGTAGACCAAAAGCCACACATATTTATACTGTGAGTATAGCACTTTGTTTTAAATTTTTGTGAAAGTTTTTTCAAGAGACGCAGTATTACCCATGCGACAGGCACTAATATTGACATATATACTCAAGCCTGTGTATAGGATGGTATTGAGATGTGGCGAAACTTATTCGTGGATTTATTGGCGCACGAAAGAAATGGATATCGGAGATTTCTTCCTACTGATATAAAACATTATCTTAGGCGCATCACGGAAAGGTCTATAAAGTAGAATTTATAAGCCTGTGACGCCGCGCTCTCCGTGACTGTTAATTTCACATACTTTGCTTTTGGATTAACTGTCACTTTAATATTGATATTTAATTTTTACAATATTGTTATCTTATCATGCGATCCGTGTGTTTTTAGTATAAATTGTTAGCTATTCCGTAACCATGCACGAGCACGCTACCTGGTTAGCAAAAAAAAAAGGGTGAAAGGGGGTTTGATATTTGAATATGAGCAACTATATTTGGAAAGGTTTGTTATAATAGCAAGCAAATAAAGATATAGTTTGGTAGCAACAATCCTACTGTTTCTACTTAGCTTTTGCAATTACATGTGTAGATTCTACTCCAACTCTGCAAGCACCAAAATTTCAGATAATGGATGATTATATGAACTCACTCTATACAATTTTTTAAAATCTTTTGTGTTCTGAGATATATGCTGTACAATAAAATAAAATTATATTTGGCTGTTGCCTGTGTATCAACTTCTATGTTTAACAGTTACAAACTGTCATAGACCCAGGGTTCAGAGAAATGAGCTATGAACTAAAAAGCAGATCTCAGATCGAAATACAACAGAGAAGAATATCTAGCTTTGAGGGAAAAAGAACTTTTAATCTTCTAACTTTGTGCGTGCCTGCAGTTTGCCAATTAGTAAGTCAGCGTCAAATGGCACATGGTCACATGGATGGATAGTTCCTCAGCAAAGTAGCAAAAATGCTAATTTTATATGCAAACCCCATTTTGTGTAGTAGGCCTTGTAAGACTTAAAAGTTGTCTGGTAGACCAGCAGGTCGTGAGAAAAGGTATTCTCAGAAAATTCAAAGAGTAGCCAAGACCATAAAAGAAAGACAGATTTACCATTGATTACTAGTTCATTCATTCCAGGGCAAAGTATTGGAGCCTAATTGGATTGAAGTGCAACAGCTTTTTCAGAACTAGATCCTTCAACACATTAATTAAACAACTGAGACCAAATTCACAAAGGAGACTAATTTCACCAGAAAGCCTAGCGCATTCTATTACTGAACTACCATCTGGTGTAAAGACCAATATATTCCTACATTGTTTCAAGTTATACTTCACTCAGCGGCCTTCCCTTCCTAAGCTGCCTCTAGCGCCCGAATCTCTTCCTTCAGAGTATTAATCTTTTTCTTCAACTCAGCCATTTCGGCTTGTCGAATTGCAGATGCTTTTTGTATCATTTCCATCGTACCAACTGCCCTTCTTGGTAGGGTATTTGCATCTTTCTTCCAAGCATCCTTCATGCGATCAAACCGACTAAGATAGTACAGTGTTTTAGTACAAACTTCCTGGCTAACCAGTTTAGTATTTCCATCTAACAGCCTGCTAGAGAATCTCTCACTGTTTCCTGCAAAAGAAAAGGAGGCAGAGACAAAGTTTTAATTTGGGATTTGATTTTCATTTCAGCTAATTTGGAGTGTGTGGCTGCTGCATCAGCAAATTATTATACCTGATTTATTTATACTGGTTCCTGCTGAGTGTTCCATAGGATGTTCAGATTCTTGGTCTGCCACTAAGATATCTTCATTTCCTTTCTCAATGAAATTCAGAGAACCACCATTTTCATTGGGCACCTTGTCGATATTGCCAATATCCCCTGTGAAAATGCATGTATCCATTTCTTTGGTTGGTCCTTGTAAGAGACCATCATTGGTTTGAACAGTAGCAGGATGAGTTAATACATCTGGCTGTCGCCTTGGAGTTGTGTCATCTTGAACACTTGCAAGCTGATGATCATAACTGTTTTGCACCGTGCCTTCTTTCATCACACCGTTGTCCTGTTCATCATTTGTTTCCCTGACCATCTGCTTTTCTTCATTGCACTCCTGTAAGATGGTCCCCGTTGGTTCCATCTCAGGAGATTTCAGACGCATGGTACCCAGTACATCTTCCTTGCTCGTCGCTTCAACAAACATCCCAGCTTTCTTGCTTGTTTCTTCATCAAGCTCATCATCACTGATTTCAACGATATCACCGAAATTGCCTTGTTTGGTCACTTTCTTCGAAACTTGGCTGTCTTGCTCGTCGTTTCTTGCATCAACCAGCTTGGTATCTTCATTTCGCTCTCCTATAAGGGACATTTTTGCCCCCGACATATGAGATTTCAGATGCATTGCACTCACCTCATGTCCCTTGCTGCTTGATTTATCACACTCGTCATCATCACTGATCACCAAGATGTCTTCATGTGTTGAAAGCATATCAACTTCAGTCCTAGCTCCAATGGCTTCACTTCTTCCAGTACTCACGGCACCCTGGACAACATTAAGAAGCACAACATCACAATACTCTGTTCTGCTACTATTTTCCCCATTGGCAGTATTAAGATCTTCATCTTTACTTTGTTGCAGACATTTGGCCTGTGGCTTTTCCGTAACAAACCCCCAAGACGATTCATCAACTATAATAGCTGAGCTCGGAACTGCGTCAGGAAAAGCTTGCTCAATAACTTTGTGTAAAACTGCCTTATTTGGGCCAACACTTGGAGATTTTGGTATAAAAATCTTCACACTTTCGACAGTCCTCTCCTGCTCACCACCCTTCACCAAACATTGTGTGTTGGGCTGCTTAGGCATCTTAGTAATGTAATTGAGCCTTTCAGAAAGAGAAATGTGATCTAGTGGATCGTCGGCTGCATCTGGCGCTGGCTGAGGCATCCCGGTGGCGGACATAGCTCTAAATCTTAGGTGCGGTGGACACGCACGGAGAACAAGCCCTGGTGCTGCTGCAGCTCGCCTTATTGCTGCATGGCTTCCTGAGGACTGGAAAGGGCAGACGTTAATTCGCGCTGGTATATTGGGCGGGCGGCCCTGGGTAGCAGTGGCCACATGCAGACGCAGCTTCTTGCCAGGATTTCCAGCAAGAACAGCTTCCATTTTCCTTTTCATTGGACTAACAAAATCATGGCCTTCTTTCATCTTTGCAGTATTAGCAATGGCACTACTGCATGCTGATGAGTAAGGCTTCCACCACTTTGCATATTGAACCGTCACAACGGGCTTGTGATTTGGAAAGATAAATGCAGAACTTTCGGCATCTATGTTGTATGTCTCCCATGCTTTCTCCCAACCTGAGCTTGCACAGGGAACCGTCCCAGGGATGTCCTGATCGAAGCCGAGCTGCCTTGCAACACGATGAGGACTATACTGCTGAATGCAGTTCATGCCCACGAGCTCACAAGCGTGCAAACACCGCGCCAAGGACAAGAGCGCTTCACTTGTTGCTATATCCTGAAGGCGGACCGGAAAACCACTCATCTCTGGCTGCAGACCAAACAAACTGCGATTTCCATAGGGCCTCCACTTAAACTCCTTTGGTGACATGAACACTGCGTGGACGTCCTTGGAGCTCAGCCTTTTCCCAACTTCATGCCATCGGGCAGCCCGTGGCATGTCATGATCACCTGGAGCAGAGGAGGCCGCTGGTTCAGGGCTTAGCTGGGTGAAATGCTCCCAGACCCAGAGCTGGAGGATGTGCATTGGTGCCGAGACGACGAAGGGCTCGTTTTTCTTGCCCGAGGTTATGCGGCGTTTGAGCGCGGAGAGATCGTGGTAGATGGTGGCGAGCGCGGCAGGGGCGAGCGCCACGCTCTCGCCGCGCGCCAGACGGGCCACGAGCGGAAGCACCTCTCGGCGGACGACGTCGAACGCCGGGCCCGAGAGAACGAAGAGGGACAGCCACATGGAGAGGAAGGCACCGTGCTCGACCAGATCACGCGCATCGCCGTCGCCGTCGGCGCCACCGGCCGCGGACGGCGGCGCCTCCGCCTCCGGCGCGCGCTCGACGAAGCGCTTCACCCACGCGCTGTAGCCGGCTTTCTTCTTCTTGCTCCAGTGTAGCACCGCCCGGACGGCCTCAATCGCGGCCACATCCTTCTCCAGACTGTCTGACACGGGCGCGCGCACGGGGCCGCCGAGGAGCGGCAGGCTGGTGAGCGCGGTGACGTCCTCGAGGGTGAGCGTGGCCTCGCCCCAGGGGAAGACGAAGGTGCCGGTGGCGCCGAACCAGAAGGCGGCGAGCTGCAGCAGGACGCGCTCGTGGTGGTGGCGGCGCACCCGGCGGGTGCTGGCGAGGATGCCGCCAAGGATCCCGGCCGCCCGCCACAGCGGCTCGTAGCGCCGGCGGAGCTTGTCCACCCACTCCGGCCACCGCCGGGGCACGCGCGTCCAGCCCCCGAACTCCACCTCGATCCCGTGCGGGCGGGCGGGGACGGGGCCGGTATCGCCGGGCGGAGCAGGGGGAGCGGCGTCGTCCCCCGCGCGGGGGCGCAGGAAGAGGGCCGGCCGGATGGAGGGTTTGGAGGCGGCGTCAGCAGCGTCGGAGACGACCGGGACGGTGGATTGCTCGACCAGAGGATGCTCGCCTGCAGCCATCGCGGTGGTCGGCGGCGGGGTTTTCGGTGGGGGCAGCGCCGCGGTCGGGGGTTTCCGGGTTTGGGCAGCGAAGCGAGTGAGGCGTGAGTGACCGAAGGCCAGGGGAGAGGAAACAGGAAAAGGGCTTTCGGTGGGGAGACTCGCCGCGGTCAGCGGCTGGGGCTTCCATTGATGGGGCTTTGTCGGTAAGTCTCCTGCTTTGTTTTTACGTTGCCGTTGATCACCACCGCGATGGTGTTGCCCTGTTGGGTTGGGGCCCACGATGGAAGTGGGAGTGGGACCCGACAGGGTGAGACGGCGCAGAGCACCGCACGTCGGCGTTGCTCACACTCTCGTCTCTTTCACACTTTATCGTCCCGTTGGTTTGGTTTCTCTGTTTACAAATCGTATTTTTTCAGGGAACGAATAATATTTTTCTCTCGTACTAAATTAGATAATAGTATTTTTAGTCATGGCTTATCAGCCAAATAAGTTTAAAGCGAACATGACGTATATAATCAGCAACAGCGGGACAACAACAATGATGGCACGGTGGCCACGACCTGAGGAGGACTGCATCGCAACATTCGGTACCAGGAGACTTTCTAAATCTCACTCTCTAAATTATTATTTAGAGAGTTATTTGTATAAAAATTATTTTTTATATATTTTTATTCTCCAACAGTTTTTCTATATCTCATGCACACTCTAGAGAGCCATTCTCGTCTTTTATTTTTGGCTAGCGGAAAATTCGAAATAGAAGATGGCTATATTTGGATGACCATTTAGAAAAGTTGTTGGAGATTATTTTTTCACCAAAATTTTTATTCCTAGCATTTAGAAAAGATAAGAAGAGTCTTTAGAGATGCTCTTAGTAGGGGTGAGAAAAAATAACCCCCGACCAAAAACCAACCAAAATAATTAAAACCGAAACTAAACTAAACTAACTAAAACCAAATATTTTGGTTACCGGTTCGGCTCCTAATTCTCATGAACCAAAATAATCTCGGATAATCTAGCTCTAAATCTCGGTCCTAAGAACTGAATATGTACATATTGACCAATTGCAAAAAGGCCTGGCCCACATTCAAACCTAGGTGTATAATACACCCCCCTCACTCTCCCTTAGTTCCTGCCCCCACACTACCCTGGTTTATATAAGTCAGGTGACTGAAAACCAGTAACTTATAAGTCATGCATGTTTGGTTGTAGATGACTTATAAGCTCATTAAAGGTGTGGGTCCCACGCGGAAAATGGTGACTTATAAGTTTTAAGCAGGGATGAACCAACTTAAAACTTATAAGCAGGGGTGACTTATAAGTTGGTAGTGTTTGACAAAATAACTCACTTATTTCACTTTTTAACTTATAAGTAGGTAATTTATTTGGAACCAAACATGCCCTGAGACGTGAGCCGTCGCTCGCCTGTCCACTCTAGAGGTGGAAGCTGAGTCCGAGCCGCAGCCCGCTGCCTTGGAGACCGAGGCGTCGAGTCGCCGCCTGCATGGGCCACGGGCCTAGACTAGAGGCCGAGCCACCCCTCCACCTTTGCCTGCCTGGAGCCCTTCGCTGCCGCCTGTGCCTGCATGGATTCCTCCTGGCCTTTGGTGCTGGCAAGGGCTGAGGAGGGTTGGATTCGGAGCAAGGGGCAACTGTCACTGTGTTTCTTTCTTTCTTTTCTTCTGTTCATTGTTGTAATCAATGACTCGGTTAGTTCGGTTCTAACCAAAATCGAACCAAACTAATCAAGACCGAAATTCCTCGGTTTCGAGTTTTTTAACTAATCGATCGGTTCTTAGTTTTCTACTAACCAAATTTCGTAAAAAATCGAGGAACCGAACCGATCGGTTTTAACTGATGCCAACCCTAAATACTTGAGTGTCTATTTGATTCAATCATGAATTACAGATAAACTACTATAAACCATGTGATATAGAAAAATTATAAACTATTTAGTTAAAACAACTATAAAACATATCTTCTCTCTATCATTTTTGAAATAGCTATGAAGCATCTCTCTATTCCTACCTATTTAGAAAACCAGAAAGCTGAAAGCTGAAAGCAGGGTTCACGATGCTACAAAAATTGTACTACATAAAAACAACTGCTTTTAGAAAAAGCAATTTCAAGTTCCACCCGTTTGGTTAACGTCTTGCCTTTTGGCAGCAAAATACCTTCTGCAAACTGAACCAAACACAATCTTAATGTAGTAGAAAGAAAGCTTAGGGCACATGTGTTATGCCAATCGAGCACCTCACTTTATGCTAACAGACCGTAAAGTGTCTATGGTCACCTCATTAATCTCGAGATCTGATATTTAAGTCCTTTAAAAATGCTTATAGAGAGAGTGTGTGAGCGTTGTGTTTATTAGAGTGAGTTTGCATATATGTATGTAAGCATCTGTGTCTTTATTGTGATTTGTAAATTAAGAAAGAAATATGCTCTATTGCCTTGTATCTGTATGCCTAACACACGGCTTCATGTGGTCGTAACATGGCTAACGTCGATCAGGAGGACGATAGTAGGAATGCACCGTATAGTCCCGTAAGACCAATCTCAGTGGCAAATTTGATCTCACGGTTTTCAAAAATGTCATGTCAACTTTACAGGCTTAGGTTGATGAATGAGACAACCACTCTTAGTACCCGACCCACGAGTGAAATATGACACCCATGAGTCCAATGTTGCACCTTCACCTGCAGGTGTGATTGGCATCCCTAATCCTTGACGAGACTCACAGGGATGGTTCTCCATCCTCGCATTTCCACTCTGTTTATTTCCATATATGCACGTAGATATCTTTAGAATTTGTGATGTATTTTGTTGTGAAGTTTTGTATATTTTCATGTGTTTTTGCTAGAATATTAATAATAGTCTATATGTGTGTGTTGCAGTTTATCAATTGTGCACCATGTGCTCAAAATTATGCTTAATTTTATATTTATTTGATCATCATCTATATTCCATGATGTATCGATGTGGCCATGCGGGACACAAATCTACGCGAAGATTATTCCTTGCTTGGGAGGATGGAGACTAAGGGCCTCTTTGGCACGGCTTATGTCGGCTTCGGCTTTATCTATTTTGCGCAAATCGAGGCACTGTAGCGTGAAGCCGTTTTATAAACCGGGGTTAAAACGAACTAGAAGCCAAAAAAAACCAGTTTTTCTGGCTTCACCGACTTTGACTTCACCGGTGAAGCCGTTTTGGATGAGCCGTGCCAAAGGGGGCTTAAGACCCTGTTTGGCTGAGCTGCTCCGGGCTTTGGCTCCGCGCTACAATATGAGAGAAACCATAACTTCATACTTATTTTGTTAGAAAGGAGAAAAATGATTCATATATATGAGGAGCAGGCCGGTCCTATGGGGGGGGGGCAGCCTATGCGATGCCCATGGGCCCATGAGGCTGGGGGCCCAACCAGCAACGCGCGGATCGCATCCGGCGTGCTCGCCTCCTTGGGCGCCGAGGGAGTCGCAGCAGGTGGCCTGGCCCCAAGCAGTGCGGGTGGGCTGCTCTTCGTCGCTGCTGACGCCCCCGCCGGCTTCGGCTTCAGCGTGGGCATCTCGTCCGCAGTGCTGGCCACTGCACAGGCAGACACTTTAGATACAATTGAGAAGGATATTTTAGATACAATTGATCTTAAAAGTGTTCACTTGAAGATTTTGCATTAAGAAATACCCGAAGACGCTTTTTTAAAAAGCACTGAAACACCGTAGATTTATTTGAGGTAACCATCATAGTTATTTTACCGTTTTTTTATCTTCTTTGATGTACTGATACCTTTTTAAAAAGAATTAAATATATATGCTATAAGTTATATACTTTAATCGTCCTATTCAAATATTACATTGTCGGACCCTTAGTGTCTTACTTGTCCAAGGGCCCATAAATTTTGTGGGACGGCCCTGATGAGGAGACGCAGAAACCTCGAACACACGCCCTAAATCTCTCCCATGACTTTATCTTTGAAAAATGAGATAAGGAGTTTTAATACATATTAAGGAAGGAATAGAGCATTGTATTCGGGAAACTGAACTGGTACACGGTCCCACCCAAACAAATCAATCACCTCGGCCTATCGTGATACGCTATCACTGATACCACAGCTAGCAGGATACTAGTAGGCCACTACTGCTCGCTAGCTGCAGCCTGCAGGCGATGGGCCATGAGCCATGGCCGATGGGTGATGGCCGCTGCCCCGCTGCCCCCAACAAAAAAAGGCACGAGGCCACGACCACGAAGAGTTGAAGGTTCAAGATCGGCAGTAACCAGTAACCGTAAAACCACGCGCCCAAAGGGCAAGCCGCTAGCAAAAGATTCGTGTCTAACCTGCCCCGACACTGTGTGGTCAGCAGCAGCGGCCGTGCCGTGACAACACAGGACCGTATGTACACGGTGTGCCGTGAGGTCGTGACTCTGGTTCCGCGGCCACGGGCGGGTCAAAAGTTAAAGCCATGGTCTCCCCGATGGGACACGCTGGTGCTCGGCGGAAGGAGCCAAATCCATTGAAGGCTCACGATCACGGGGCCGTCGCGTGACGCGTGGTTTCTCTGTCTCTCCTTATTATTCTTTCTTCTTCCTCGAACCGCATTGCTCACCACTGCTGTCACCTCCGGCCAGCGACGTCTTCACCACTCGTCACACCATCCATTTTCTCTCCTACAAGTTCAGCACGTCTCTCTCCCTTCCTGTTCTTTCTACTCTTGAGCCGCACTACTCCTTTTAGCGTCGCCTGCCACCGCCACCGCTCTTACCCCTAATCAGCCGTTCCCCCACCGCCCACCAACCTCCCCTAGCGCTCTGCGCTATCATTCTCTAACCGGAATTAGAAGAGAACGAAAACACAACCTTCACCTCACTGCCGGCCCTGTCCACCGGATGTCCTCTGCTCATTCAGTGGCGCCCTTCCGCCTCACTTGCTCATCGCCCACGGGACCACCACCGTCACAGTTGTCACTAGACCCCTCCCCACCTTCTAAGATCACTAGGCATGAAGACCTTAGAAAATCTAATAATGTGAA